CTCTGGCCCCCAAAAGCCAACCTATCTTTGCTTTTGAATGGACAGATCCTGGCTCAGAAGACACCATCCCATTAAGTTGGACTCGGTTACCTCAAGGCTTTAAAAATCCCCCCACCTTTTTGGGGGAAGCCCTCCAACAGGATCTTATGCCATTCCGAGCCAGTCACCCCAATTGTGCTCTTCTTCAGTACATAGACAACTTTTATCAGCTACTGAAACTACTGACAGCTGCCTGCAATATACTAGGGACCTACTTTACCTCCTTCAGGAGCTTGGGTATTGGGTCTCAGCCAAAAAGGCCCAGCTTTTTCTTCCCAGAGTGTCCTACCTAAGGTACAAGATAAACAAAGGAAAAAGGGCACTCACCAGTGCCCGGAAGGAAGCCATCTTGCGAATCCCCACTCCCACCACCAAGAGGCAGACATTACCACACCTGTCCATGACTGCCAAGAACTGTTGGAGACTACAGAAACTGGCCGACCTCATCTGCAGGATGTGCCTTTAAAGGAGGCAGACGCCACCGTGTTTAAAGACAGTAGCAGTTTTCTTGAGCAGGGAGTTTGAAAGGTTGGTGCTGCCGTCACTATGAAGATGGATATACTGTAGGCCCAAGCACTGCCAGCAGGTGGCTGTAATTCACTGCAAAGGAAATCAAAAAGAAGACATGGCCATTGCCCGTGGTAACCAAAGAGCAGACTCTACAGCCCAGGAAGCAGCTTGACTCCCAGTCGCGCCTCTGACCCTGCTGCCTGCAGTGTCCTTTCCACAACCTGACTTGCCAGATCACCCAAAATATTCCCCAGAGGAGGAAAAACAGGCTTCAGATCTTCAGGCCAGTAAAAATAAGGAAGTCTCTCCAACAGGTACAAGACATCATCCAGCCACTTGTCCAGGGAGCTCACCCTAATCCAGTTCCTGACAAGATGGGGCCCTGCCACTCTTTACAGCTGGGTGACCTGGTGTACGTTAAAAAGTTTCAGAAAGAAGGATTCACTGCTACCTGGAAAGGACCTCATACCGTCATCCTCAACACACCAACAGCTCTGAAAGTGGATGGCATTCCAGCTGGGATTCATCACTCTCACATCAAAAAGGCCAACAGAGCCCAACAAGGAGCCAGGCTCCTTAAAACTGTGCCTAAGTCAACTGAAGCCATCAGATTAATTCTTTTTATTTACCTCTATTGTTTGTTTCTGCCCATTATGCTTTTGCCCCATCCTACTCTTTCCTCCTCACTTCTTTCACAACAGGACGTGTGTCTGCAAACACTACTTGGAAGGCAGGAACCTCCAAGGAAGTCTCTTTTGCAGTCAATTTATGTGCTTTGTTCCCAGGGCCTGCCCGTGCCCCATGAAGAACAATGCAATCTGCCTGTCATAGCAGCAGGGAACATCGACCTTGCTGCGGGATTTGGACACTCCCAAAGCCAGACTGGATGTGAAAATTCCAAAGGTGCAGAAAAGGACTTCAGAATGTTGACTTTTACCTCTGTCCTGGAAATCACCCTGACTCCAGTTGTCGAGATTCTTACCAGTTTTTCTGCCCTGACTGGACATGTGTAACTTTGGCCACCTACTCTGGGGGATCAACCCAATCTTCAACCCTTTCCATTTAGCTCAGTGATATTATGGCATGTCATAGGGATTAAGGCTTTATAGCCCAGGATTTGATGTTGGAACTATGTTCACCATCCAAAAAAAAATCCTGGTCCCATGGAGCCCTCCTAAGCCAATCAGGCCTTTAACTCATTTAGGTGACCCTGTGTTCCAAAAATACCCAGACAAGGTCGATTTAACTGTCCCACTGCCACTCCTGGTTCGCAAACCTCAGCTGCAATGACAGCACCTCCAACCCAGCCTGAAGTCCATTCTAGGCGGGGTACATCACCTCCTCAATCTCACCTAGCCTAAACTAGCCCAAGATTGTTGGTTGTGCCTAAAGGCCAAACCTCCATATTATGTTGGATTAGGAGTAGAAGCCGCACTTAAAATTGGCTCTCTTTCTTGTCATACACGCCCCCATGCCCTCACATTAAGAGACGTGTCTGGAAAGGCTTCTTGTCTAATTAGCACTGGATATAACTTATCTGCTTCTCCCTTTCAAGCTACCTGTAATCAGTCTATGCTTACCTCCTTAAGCACCTCAGTCTCGACCAGGCACCTAACAATACCTGGTTAGCCTGCACTTCAGGTCTCACTCGCTGCATCAATGGGACTGAACCAGGACCTCTCCTGTCTGTGTTGGCTCATATACTCCCCCAGGTCTATGTGAATAGTGGGCCAGAAGGACAACTTATCATTTCTCCCCCTGAATTACATCCCAGGTTTCACCAAGCCGCGCTACTCCTTGTACCCCTCCTGGCCAGCCTTAGCATAGCTGGATCAGCAGCCATCGGCACGGCTGCCCTGGTTCAGGGAGAAACTGGACTAATGTCCCTGTCTCAACAAGTAGATGCTGATTTAAGTAATCTCCAATCAGCCATAAATATACTACATACCCAAGTGAAGTCTCTAGCTGAAGTAGCTCTTCAAAACCGCCAAGACTTAGATCTGCTATTTCTCTCTCAAGGAGGGTTATGTGCCGCTCTAAGAAAGAGCTGTTACTTCTATGCCAATCAGTCTAAAGTCATAAAAGATACTCTCCAAAAAGTTCTGTTACTTCTATGCCAATCAGTCTAAAGTCATAAAAGATACTCTCCAAAAAGTTCAAGAAAACCTAGATAGACACCAGCAAGAACGAGAAAATAACACCCCCCGGTACCAAAACATGTTTAACTGGAATCCGTGGCTAATTACTTAATCACTAGGTTAGCTGGACCCCTTCTCCTCCTATTGTTAGGCTTAGTCTGCGAGCCTTGTATATTAAATTGGTTTCTTAACTTTGCAAAACAACGCATAGCTTCTCTCAAGCTTACATATCTTAAAATGCAATAAAATCCCCTCGTTATAACTGAGGAATCAATGATTTGATTCCCAAAAACACAATGGGGAATGTGATACCCCACCTTGTTTTAACCTGAATTGACGCTCCCTTAGCTGAGAGCCAGACAGACTCCATCTTGGCTCCTTCACTTACAGTTCCTTACCCAACCCCTTCCTCAAGGACCTAACTTGTGCAAGCAGACTCCCGGCACATCCAAGGATGCAATTAACTGATAAGATACTGTGGCAAGCGATATCTGCAGTTCCTAGAAATTCGTCCGGTTGATAACACTCAAAGCCCCACAACTATCACCTCGTGATAGATTTAAAGCCCCTGCACCTGGAACTGTTTGCTTTCCTGTAACTATTCTTTTAACTTTTTGCTTGCTTTACTTATCTAAGATTGTTTTAACTAGACTCCTCCCCTTCCCTTTCTAAACCAAAGTATAAAAGAAAATCTAGCCCCTTCTTCGGGGCTGAGAGAATTTTGAGCACTAGCCGTCTCTCAGTTGCCGGCTAATAAAGGACTCTTGAATTCGTCTCAGAGTGTGGCGTTTCTCTGTAACTCGCTCGGTTACAACATGTGAGCCCTACAATTATTCCTGCTTACAATGTAGAAGAAAAATAAGTATATATGGCGACCATTGTGGGTATAATTTAGGTGGGATAATAGGAGAGAGGAGAGAGGCAAAGATTTGCAGAACTCTCCGTGTAAATCTTTGGCTAAGTCCTGATCTGCACAAGCATGACCAGACACTACTTGAGGTTTAGAAAGGAACCCCTACAAAGCAATGTCCCAATTATTTGAGCTCATCCAGGGCTGGGAACTGTGTGTTCACCTGCCAGTGCGGAACACCTATTAGTATAGAAAACACCAGATAGAAAGGTATACCTAAAGAATGAGGCTGACAGACTCAAGGCTGTTCTGGTCTTATACTAAAAAAGTTTAAAAGAGAAAGACCCAGTGCCAAGCAGGCAAGAGGAAAGCCTGCTGCTAAGTAATTTTATTGAATGGCATACCAAGGTCCAACATTGTTTAAAGCGATACAAACAAATACAACATTCAATGATGTAAAATTCAGTGTCTGGCATCCAATAAATAATAACCATGCACACAAAGAAGTAGTGATATAAAAATCATTAACCAGAAGAGTGAATTGAGAAGCACAGAAATGATGAAAATGATGAAATTAGTGGACAAATATGCTGTATAGCTTTTATAACTATCCAGCATTTGTTTGGGGAAAATAAAACTTGATAATGAGAAATAGTACATATATATATACACACACACATATATATACAAATATATATACACACACACACACACACACACACATATATATATTTGTGGTTTCTACTCCAACATCTAAAGACCTTGTTACTCCTATCCTCACAACAACAGAAAGTTGAACAAACTGAAAATCAGTAACTCTTCTTAGATCCATCAGAGAATTGAGTTCATAGGGCAAAGCAATGCCCCCAAAACTGGAGACACAGCAAATACAGAGGATCAGATTTTGAGAAGCAGAAGCCACTGGAGCCAGCAACTGATAGGTGAACAGTGATTAACAAATTGCTGGAGGCTAATGGTGGACAAGCTTGAGTCTTTTTTTTTTTTTTTTTTTACAACTTTAAGTTCTAGGGTACATGTGCATAACGTGCAGGTTTGTTACATATGTATACTTGTGCCATGTTGGTGTGCTGCACCCATCAACTCGTCAGCACCCATCAACTTAAAAACTCCTGGGAGCCCAGTCTTATCATGGGAGCAGCACCCGTATTTTCATGAGATTTACCTCCAGGAGACCCACCAGACTCTCATGATGAAGACTGGAGAACAATTATCTCATGCTTCAGGCAGGAAGAGGGGGAAAATAATCATTCTAAGACACACCCAAGGAAACATAGGCATTTTGAAATAAGCCCAGAGTATTCTGTGCTACGTAACAAAAGCCTGACCTCAGGAAACTACCAAATCGTATGTGACTTGTGAGAAGAACTAGTCAGTCGGTTCCATCTAGCCTTCCTATCTCAAATAAAGGTGTTGTACCCGAGCGAGTTAGAGAAATGCCACACTTTGAGACAAATTTAAGAGTCCTTTATTAGCCGGCGACCGAGAGACGGCCGAGAGATGGCTAATGCTCAAAATTCTCTTGGCCCCTAGGAAGGGGCTTGATTTTCTTTTATATTTCGGGTTAGGAAGGGGAGGGGGAGCTCAGTTGCAATAACAATTCTACAGAAGTAAAAACATGTACAAAGTTTAAAAAAAAAAAAAGACAAATGATTACAGAGAAACAGTTTCCAGGTGTAAGGGCTCTAAATCTTTCATAAGATGTTATATACGTGGGCTCTGCCAGACACAAACTCAAGGCTTTACGGTGTTATCTCTTGAGCAAAATCCTGGGAACTTCATACTTTGCTTGCTTCAGTACCTTATCAGTTAATTGGACTCTCTGATATGTTGAGAGTCTGCTTACACAAGTTAACTCCTTGAGGAAGGGGGTGGGTGGGGAGTCCCTGAAGCCTTGCCAATGACACAGCCAAATGGAGTTCGTCCGGCTTTCTCAGCTAAGGGAGAGCTTATTCATGTGGAAACAAGGCTAGGAGATTAAGGGAGAAAGGGAAAGTCTAAAAACAAAGTTAGTAAAAAAGCAAGGTTAGGTATTATATTCCCCACTTGTGTTTTTGGGGGAATCAAATCATTGATTCCTCAGTTATAACAAGGGGGTCATATTGAGTTTTAAGACACATAAGTTTGACAGAAGCTGTGCGTTGCTTTGCAAAGTTAACAAACCAATTTAATATACAAGGCCCAAAAATTAAGCTTAACAGTAGGATGAGGAGGGGTCCGGCTAACGCAGTGATTAAAGTAGTTAGCCATGGGTTACAGATGAACATGCTTTGATACCAGGGGATGTTATTTTCTCGTTCTTGCTGACATCTATCCAGATTTTCTCGGACCTTTTGAAGAGTATCTTTTACGACTCCAGATTGATTGGCATAGAAGCAACAACTGTCTCCCAGATCTGCGCATAAACCTCCTTGAGAGAGGAATAGCAGATCCAAGCCTTGGCGGTTTTGAAGAACTACTTCAGCCAGAGACTCTACCTGGGAATGTAGTATATCTATGGCAGACCGGAGGTTACTTAAATCAGAATCTACCTGTTGAGACAGGGACATTAGTCCAGTTTCCCCTTGAACCAAGGCAGCCATACTGATAGCTGCTGATCGGGCTATGCTAAGGCCAGCCAAGAGGGGAACTAGGAGCGGGGTGGCGTGGTGGAACCTGGGATGTAACTCAGGGGGAGCGATGAGAACTTGTCCTTCTGGTCCACTGTACACGTATACTTCGGGAAGTACATGAACTAACACGCACAGGAGAGGTCCTGGTTCAGTCCCGTTAATGCAGCGAGTGAGACCTGAGGTGCAGGCCAACCAGGTATTGTTAGGCGCTTGGTAAGAGACTGAGGTGCTTATGGAAGTAAGCAGGGACTGATTACAAGCAGCCTGAAAAGGAGAAGCAGATAAGTTATACCCAATACTAATTAGACACGAAGCATTTCCAGACACATCTCCTAGTGTGAGAGCACGGGGTCGTGCACGACAGGATAGAGGGCCATGTTTAAGTGTGGCTTCTACTCCTAATCCTACATAAAACGGGGGCTTTGCTTTTAAACATAGCCAGCAATCTTAAGCTAGTTTAGGCTGGGTGAGGTTAAGGAGGTGATGTACTCTGCCTAGTATAGACATCAGGCTGGGTTGAAAATGTTGTCGTTTTAGCTGGGGTTTAGGAACTAAGAATGGCGGTGGAACAGTTAAATCAACTTTGTCAGGGTGCTTTTGGAACACAGGGTCACCTAGATCAGTTAATGGCCCGATTGGCTTAGGAGGGCTCCCTGAGACCAGAATTTTCTTTTGGATGGTGAACATAGTCCCAATATCAAATCCTGGGATATAAAGTCTTAATCCCCATGACATGCCGTAATACCATTGAGCTGAATTAGGGTCATGGACAGTTATAGTAAGAGGATTACAATTTTTTCTAGTACACAATCTAGGACGAGAAGCACGACTTATGGAAAGAGTTGAAGATCGGGTTGATCCTCCAGAGTAAGTGGCTAAAGTTACACATGTCCAATCAGGGCAGAAAAACTGGTAAGTATCTCGACAGCTAGAGTCAGGGTGATTTCCAGGACAGAGATAAAAGTCAATATTTTGGAGTCCTTTTTCTGCACCTCTGGAGCTTCCACATCCAGTCTGGCTCCCAGAGTGTCCAAATCCTGCCGCAAGGTCGACACTTCCCGCCCCTGTGACCGGCAGATTGCATTGCTCTTCCTGGGTGCGGGCTGGTTCTGGAAACAGCACACATAAATCAACTGCAAGGGAGACATCCTTGGAGGTACCTGCCCTCCAAGTAGTGTTTGCAAATACACGTCCTGTCGTGAAAGAGGTGAGGAGAAAGGAATAGGAAGGCACAGAGGACATGATAGGCAAAAACAAACAAGAGAGGTAAATAAAAAGAATTAATCTAAGAGCTTCACCCGACTTAGGCGCAGTTTCAAGGGGCCTGACCCAGGCTTGAGGACCCATGTTTCTAGTTGGGCTCTGTTGGCCTGTCTGATGCGGGAGTGATGAATCCAAGCAGGAATGCCGTCCACCTTCAGAGCCGTTGGCGTGGTGAGGATGACAGTGTGTGTGTGGTACCTTCCAAGCAGGAGTGAGAACTTCTCTCTGAAACTTCTTGATTTTTATTGGCTCCGAGATCTGAAGCCAGTTTTTCTTCTTCTGTTGAGTACGTGGGATTGTCAAGCAGATCTGGCTGTGAAAAGGATACTGCGGGTAGTAAGTTTAGAGGCGTGACTGGAAGTCAGGCTGAGTCCCAAGCCTCTGAGTCAGCTTTCTGGTTACCACGGGCAACGGCCGTGTTTTCTCTTTGATGTCCTTTGCAGTGGATCACAGCTACCTGCTGGGGGAGCCACAGGGCTTCAAGCAGAGCTAGAATTTATCCTTTGTTTTTGATAGTCTTTCCTGCCGAGGTAAGTAGCCCGCGTTCCTGATAGATGGCTCCATGTACACAGTACAGTAGCAAAGGCTTACCTGCTGTCAGTGTAAATGTTAATACTTTTATCCTTACCCCATCGGAGAGCCTGAGTGAGGGCAATCAATTCCGCTTTTTGTGCTGAGATGTTTGCTGGCAAAGCCTGGGCCCATAGCACATCTGTCTCCGTGGTAACGGCTGCACCAGCCTTTCATACCCCCTGCTGGAGGAAGCTGCTACTGTCTGTAAACACGGTGGCGTGCGTCCGCCTTCTTTAGGGGCGCATCTTGGAGATCAGGTCGGCCAGTTTCTGTAGTTCCTGACAGTCATGGACAGGAGTAGTGAAGTCTGGATCAGGGAGTAGAGTAGCTGGATTGAGACATCTTGAAGGAAAGTCAGACAAGGCTGATCTAACAGTAAACCCTGATACTGCAGTATGAGGGGCCGTAAGGGTTAAACTTCGGCCCAGAATTAACTTAGCCTCTTGGACTAGGTTTGCCGTAGCCGCTATGGCTTGCAGACAACTTGATTATCCAGAGGCCACAGGATCCAGCCTCTTAGACAAATAGGCTACCAGGCGTCTCCAGGGTCCTAAAGTCTGAGTAAGCACCCCTTTAGCAACTCCCTGGCTTTCGTGGACAGACAAGTGAAACAGCTTTGAGATATTCGGGAGGGCTAGAGCAGGGGCTTCAGTTAATGCCTTTTTCAGGTTTTGAAAAGCCCGTTCTTCTGTGTCTGTCCAAACTAGCGGGTCATTCCCTCCTGTAGCAGTGTACAGGGGCTTGGCAATCTCCGCGAACCCCAATATCCAGAGGTGACAATATCCCACGGCCCCCAGGAATTCACGTACCTGTCTCTTGGTGGTGGTGGTGGGAGTGGGAATTCATAGGATGGTTTCTTTTCGGGCACCAGTGAGTGCCCTTTTTCCTTGGTTTATCTTGCATCCCAGGTAGGACACTCTAGGAAGACAAAGCTGGGCCTTTTTGGCTGAGACTCCACACCAGAGCTCCTGAAGGAGGTAAAGCAGGTCTCTAGTATGTTGCAGGCAACTGTCCATAGTTTCAGGAGCTAATAAAAGTTCATGTACATATTGATGAAGAGTACAGTTAGGGTGGCTAGCTCGGCATGGTGTAAGATCTTGCTGGAGAGCCCCTCCAAAAACGGTTGGGGAGTTTTTAAAACCCTGAGGTAATCGAGTCCAAGTCAATTGGGTAGTGTCCCCAGAGCTAGGATCTGTCCATTCAAACGCAAAGATTGGCTGGCTCTTGGGGGCCAGAGGAATAGCAAAAAAAGCATCCTTTAGGTCAAGGACAGTGTATACTGTATGTTCTGGCAGGAGCAGGCTAAGTAGAGTATAAGGATTAGGGACGGTTGGATGGACAGTAACAGTCAATTTGTTAACTTCCCTTAAGTCTTGTACCGCCCAGTAATCATTCGTTCCAGGTTTCTGGACTGGCAAAAATGGAGTATTCCAGGCAGACTGACATGGTGTGAGCATGCCAGCTTGTAACAGTCGCTGAATATGGGGATTAATTCCCTGCCTAGCCGGCTGACACATGGGATATTGTTTCACCTGGACCGGCATGGCGGTGGCCAGGAGTTCTACAACCACTGGTGGATGGTGTTTAGCCAGTCCTGGGGAGTTTGACTCGGCCCAAACTCGGGAAAAGAGTGTAAGTCCAACAGGAGAGGATCAGTACTATTTTCCAGTGGTTGTGATGGCGAAACTAAAAGGTATTCCTCCAACAGAGGGGTAGTTAGCAGGAGTTGAGCAGTGGGGGGCGCTGTATTTCCTAGTGTGAGGTGAGCCTGCTGAGCTGAGAAGATAGAAGCCTATAACTTATGGAGCAGGTCTCATCCGAGGAGAGGAAAAGGACACTCTGGAACCACAAGAAATGAGTGAGTCACTCTTTCCTGTCCCAAGCTCACTTCTCATGAGTGTGTGACAGGATATTCTTGAATAGCTCCGATAGCTCCTTGTACAGCCACTCTCTTAGTAGAGACACTGTTCAAGGGGGTCTGCAGTACCGAATGCTCTACCCCGGTAGCTACTAGAAAGCATACAGGCTGGCCTCCCCACTGTAGCAGTCACCATGAGCTCCTGTGGGCCAAGAGCAAGGGAGTCCTGGCCCCGTCAGTCTTCAGGCTCTTCCGTAATGGGGAGGGTAAGGACCTTTTTCTTTTCTAATTTTTCCTCTGGCTGAAGCGGGCATTCCTTTTTCCAGTGTCCAGTCTGCTTGCAATAAGTACATTAGTCCTTCCTTAAGCGGGGCTGTCCACCTCTTTTTCCCTTCTGGTGGGGGAAAAAGGTTCCAAGGGAGCAGGATGGTTATAAGGCAGCAGGACTGGGTCGGGGAGACTCTCCTCTTCATCAGAGGGAGGCAATACAGGGGGAGCCGAACTGGCTAAGGGTCGAGACGAAAATGCGGTCTGGCTCAAAACGACCTTGGAGGCAGAATTATGAATGGTGCATGAGCGGAACCATGGAGGGGGGCTCCTGATCAAACTCAGCCATTGGTCAATGTAGGGAAACTGATCAGGGTGGCCGGGAGCTTCAGTAACAACCCACCACACAGCCTGAACAATTGCGAGGTTCAGTGACCCTACTGGGGGCCACCCGACTCCAAACTTTGGCCATTCTACTTCGCAGAGTGTCCAGAGCTTGCCTTTTATTAAGGCAGACCCCATAGTCCCCTGAGAAGCCTAGAGAAAAATTCTGCAACATACATTGGAGAGGGCTCCAATCCTTACAAGGCTGGAAAGAGGAGTTTCCCATTTTTGGAGGCAATTTAACAAGGTTTGAGCAGAGATATTAAACCCAGCACGGACAGAGAAACTCACTCCCTGGTGGGCGGAGCATCGGAAGAACAGAATTAACATAACCAGAAGGAGCAAAAAGACCACAATTGCTAATGCCACTTCCCACATTTTGGTTAACTGTAGTTTTAAGATTGAGGGAGGAGGACTGGAGGCCGACCCCAAGGTCTCCTTGACTGGACGGACCTAGGTGTCCTTCCTCTTTCCCTGGACCTGTAGCCTAAATACTTTTGGTGTCTCCATGACTCAAAGGCAAATAGCCCAAACTCAGCCTTTTCTTTCAAGGGTTTGAGGAGTGACAGCAGAGCCACATCCTGGAGTTGCTAGACTTGCTGTGACACCGGAAAATGAGAGGTACAGGGTAAGGTGTGGGGATAAGGAGGAAAAGGGCCACTCAGATCTTTCCTAAGGTAGGAGAGTAGCCACCGAGGAATAGAATAAGAGTCTAACCAAAGTAAAGCAGTGTGGGCATAGGTTTCTCTGCACAGTGCCCTATTTAAGGGCACAGGAAAAGTTACAGGATGACAAAAGAGATGAGCAAGGAGGTCTGCAGGGTGGCTATTTTGAACCTACCACAGGTTTAGTCTGGGGTGGCCCAGTCACTTGGACATGGGGTGTGACTATCTAAATGCCAGCAACCTTCACGGTGCCAGAAATCCCAATCAGGTGAATGTTCTTCACATTCGTTTCCATAACAACACCTGATTTGTTTCTGACAGAAAAGGCAGGACTGTGGTGGCCAGCCTAAACGATTGATGAGAAATTTAACCTCCTGTGATAAAAAATCAACACTAAGGACCTTGAAGAAATTCTTGCCCAGATGTCTTGGGCAATATCGACGACCTGACATACGAAACTTTGACAACCATTAAATAGAACAATAGACACCGAGCAGGACAATAAACATAAAACAAACTATAGACCCTAGGGTATATAAACAATTATAGCAGTTTTTTTTTCTTTAGACAGACAAGGGGAGGGGGTCCCGTGTTGGGATCAGATGCCCGCCTGGCCACTCCCCTGAGGGGACTTGGGCTCCTCTTAGCATTGGCGGGCCGGTATAAACCCCCGGCTTGGATCGAGCTATGCCCGATGCTGCCTTAAGCCTTATGAGGTCACCACGGAACTGCAGGTGAGGGCCCACTCAAACTCCGTAGCTTTCACCATGGAGCTACAAACTGGAGATCCATAAGCATGCCCCTGGACTCCTCAGTCATACACGCATTCACTCAGAGTTTATAACAATATTTTTTTTATATATATATATATTTTTTTTTTCCATTTTAAACAAAAGGTCTCGGGAGACCCGAACGAGAAGAGGAGGTAGTGGGAGTGATAGAGAAAGGGGGAGAAAGAGAGAGAAAGAAAGAGGAAGAGAGTGAGAGACTAGTCTTAATGGAGAGGCCAGCCTGCCAGAAACCAAGACTCGATCCTCCAGCATCCTGGAGTATGGATAGTCAAAGAGAGGGATGCCCTCGTCAGGGCTGCCTCCCTCTCACCAAATCGAAGTCAAATCTGACTTACCTGACCCCGGGGTCAGAAGCTGAGGACTCAGAGGTTGAATTTTTGTCAGCACACACACACGGTAGTCGATCTGCTCTCCTCCGGAAGACGGTCGCCTTTCAGGGACCTGTAAAATTTCTTTTTCAGGTGGCACCCCCACCTATAAGCGGGCCATCCGACCAGGGGAGGCCGGAGCGAGCCCGGCTCTTGCCCAGTGGTGAAGTAGATCTCGCTGGGGCCTCCAAATGTTGTACCTGAGCGAGTTAGAGCAACGCCACACTTTAAGACAAATTTAAGAGTCCTTTATTAGCCGGCGACCGAGAGACAGCTAATGCTCAAAATTCTCTCGGCCCTGAAGAAGGGGCTTGTTTTTTTTTTTTTTTTTTTTTTTTTTTTGAGACGGAGTCTCGCTCTGTCGCCCAGGCTGGAGTGCAGTGGCCGGATCTCAGCTCACTGCAAGCTCTGCCTCCCGGGTTCACACCATTCTCCTGCCTCAGCCTCCCGAGTAGCTGGGACAACAGGCGCCCGCCACCTCACCCAGCTAACTTTTTTTTGTATTTTTAGTAGAGACGGGGTTTCACCGTGTTAGCCAGGGTGGTCTTGATCTTGACCTCGTGATCTGCCCGTCTTGGCCTCCCAAAGTGCTGGGATTACAGGCTTGAGCCACCGCGCCCGGCCTTGATTTTCTTTTATATTTCGGGTTAGGAAGGGGAGGGGAAGCTCAGTTGCAACAATTCTACAGAAGTAAAAACATGTAAAAAGTTAAAAAAAAAAAAAAAAAAGACAAATGATTACAGAGAAACAAACAGTTTCCAGGTGCAAGGGCTCTAGTTCTTTCATAAGATGTTATATATGTGGGCTCTGCCAAACACAAACTCAAGGCTTTATTTATGGTGTTATCTCTTGAGCAAAATCCTGGGAACTTCATACATTGCTTGCTTCAGTACCTTATCAGTTAATTAGACTCTTTGATATGTTGACAGTCTGCTTACAAGTTAACTCCTTGAGGAAGGGGGTAGGTAAGGAGTCCTTGAAGCCTTGCAAATGATGGAGCCAAAAGGAGTTCATCCGGCTTTCTCAGCTAAGGGAGAGCTTATTCATGTGGAAACAAGGCTAGGAGATTAAGGGAGAAAGGGAGAGTCTAAAAACAAAGTTAGTAAAAAAGCAAGGTTAGGTATTACAAAGGGAGAAAAGAAAGCTAAGAAATTTTTCTGAAGGTCAGCCCAGGGACTCAGTCTCACTGATAAAACTGAGATGTAATCATGAGATTAAAAAATGCTGCCTCTCCACAATATCTTATCACCACATCAACAGGTCTGCAGTATAATAACAGCAGATGGGCCAGGCGCAGTGGCCCATGCCTATAATCCCAGCACTTTGGGAGGCTGAGGTGGGTGGATTACTTGAGGTCAGGAGTTCGAGACCAGCCTGGCCAACACATCGAAACTCTGTCTCTACTAAAAATACAAAAATTAGCTGAGCGTGGTGGTATGTATCTGTAATTCCAGCTACTCAGAAAACTGAGGCAAGAGAATCACTTGATCCTGGGAGGCAGAAGTTGCAGTGAACCAAGATTGCACCACTACACTCCAGCCTGGGTGATGGAGGGATACCTTATTTCAAAAAATAATAAAATAAATAATAATAATAATAATAAACAGTAGATGGTAACTGATAGAGCTGCAAGACACAGACAGGAATTTCTAGGGAAACCCACAGACAACAGCAGAGATACCAATAAGGATATTAGAGGAAATTTAATCCCCTGAAATCTACTGCTACAGCAAATAATAAACAGCCAAAATTCTAGCCAGATAAACACAAAACCTCGCAGGAAAGTCCTATTAACTTTAGTTCATATTACCCAATACATCATGTCTGGCTATCAACAAAAATAGCATAACATGATAAAAGGTAAAGGCTCTAGACTGAGTTGTGTACATCCCTCCCCACCAAATTCATGTTAAAACCCTAATCCCCAATGTGATTGTATTGGAGACAGACTTTAAAGAGGTAATTAAGGTTAAATGAGGTGTAAGGATGGATCCCTAAACAAATAAGATTAGAGTACTTATAGGAAAAGGAAGAGAAATCCAGGGTGTGTGCTCACAGACTGAAGGCCATGTCAAGACACAGCAAGAAGGCAGCCATCTGCATGCCTGCAAGAGAGTCCTCACCAAAACCCAACTCTGCTGACATCTTGATCTAGGCGTTCCATTCTCCAGGATTATGAGCAAATAAATTTCTTTTGTTTATGTCATTCAGTCTGTGGCATTCTGTTAAGAAGAATAACCCAAGAAAACTAACGCATCAGGAAGAAACACATTAGGAAGAGACAAAGCAGCTGTCACAACAAGACGCTGGGGCAGAGAGGTTGGAATTACCACACCAGGATTTTAAGTTGTAATTAATATGCTAAGGATTCTAATGGAAAAAGTGGCCAACAGGCAAGAACACATGTGTAATGTAAGCAGAGAGATGCAAACACTAAAAAAAAAAAAAAAAAAATCAAAAAGAAATGCTAGAAATAAAAAACACTGTTAACAGAAATGAAGAATGTCTTTGATGGGCTTATCAACAGACTACAGAAGGTCAAGGAAAGAATCTGTGAGTGTGAAACATGTTGATAGAAACTTCCCAAACTGGAAAGCAAAAAGAGAGAGAAAAGGAGAGAGCGAGGGAGGGAACTGAAACAGAACATCCAAGAACTATGGACAGTTATAAAAGATGTAGGGCATAATGAGAATGAATCCTAGAGGAGGAGAGAAAGGAGCAGAAAACCTATTTGAAGTGATAATGACTGAAAGTCTTCCAAACTTACTGGCAGACATCAAAAAGCACAGACATAGGAAGTTGAGAAAAGATCAAGCAAGATTGTGATACGACATACATTTGGTTTTTGTCACCACTTCCTCTCGGAGTGCTGACACCCCTTGAATGTACTGAGTGACAGGAATGTCTTTTGTTATTAATAGTGAGCCCCACTGACAACACCTGAGTTTATGCTAAAGAGGTACTTAAGGTAGAGCATCTGGATAGCCTCAGGATGGGCTATAAGATATTGATGCTTCATGCAGTTGAATTTCTATTTATGATGGTCAATTGCATTATTCATCACACAATTTAACAATAAAAGTACACGTCCACTTTTCCTTGGTCATAGTCTCTGCATTAATTAAATTAAACTCTCCCTTTTCCAACCCTCATACTTTGGGCATTAATATAATACATTTTGCCCAGCTACATATTTTAGTTTATTTTTTTCATTTAGTTTATTTCCTATCTTTTAAGTTTTTATTCTTCTCTATACAGCATAAAATTCCTGATGGATTACTACACCTTAATGCTGTGGTCCCATCCATTGAGGCCTCCATAGCCAATATCCAATATTATTAAAATTGCTGATTCTATTCAGTCAACAACTGGTATATATTTTGCTCTTATAGATTTGGCTAACATGATCTGTTCAGTGCCAATTCTAACAGCCTCTCTACTGCAATTTATCTCCACCTCTGAAGGCATGCAACACACCTTTCCCAGGCTACCCAGAGGGTACCTCGTCAGCTTTGGCATCATGTACAATATTTGCAGACAAGATCTGAACTGCATCCATCTTTCTTTCTCTAAGAGCACAGGTATGACATGATATTAATAACATGCTCCTCCCAGGAGACTCATTTGAAACATTCATTAAGGACATATAAGTCCAATCTTTTAGTACATTTTGGGTCCTGGTGGCAACATGTTCCACATTTACAAATTTTACTTCCAAATTAAAATCAGTAGCCCAGGCTGGGAGCAGTGGCTCATGCCTGTAATCCCAATGCTTTGGGAGTCCAAGTGGGGAGGATCGCTTGAGTCAGGAGTTTGAGACCATCCTGGGCAAAATAGGGAGTCCCCATCTCTACTAAATGAAAATAATAATGAAAAACCCCTAGCTGGGCATGGTGGCATGCACCTGTGGTCCCAGCTTCTCAGGAGGCTGAGGTAGGAGGATTACTTGGGCCCAGGAGGTTGAGGCTACTGTGAGCTGTGATTGTGCCAGTGCACTCCAGTCTGGGTGACAGAGCAGAACCCTGTCTCAGAAAAAAAAAATAGGTAGGTACTCCTGTTACTGCTCTCAAAGCCTCCTTCACTGTAGAGGTTTTGACAACCTCCTCTTATCCCTCCTGGAGCCTTTGACCACATATGATGGCCATAAATTGCCCAAGGACTTCTGATGCAAGAAATTTCCCTCTTGGCCTCATGCTATACATTCTTAAACAATAAATGATGGCTACTTACTGGGCTTTCCTGGAAATACAGAGACACAGACCCTGAGCCTGTGCCCCTCCATACCCAGCTGCTCATAATGCTTTGGGTCATGGACACACCCCACAAGCTGGGCATGGCTACTGAGGCCTCCCTAGATAGGATGGAACCAAACCTAGGTCCTCTGGTATGTTCCACCTACAGGAGGGGGTGATCTCCTCTGTCCTCCAGTCCAAAACACAAACCCCTAAAGGCCTGTATCTCAACTCAGGCCTTAACTTATCTTCATAAATGTTTGCTCTTGTCCCCGTCCCATAAGTGCTGGAGGCCAGATTAAGGGCTCATACTCCCTTGTGACCCATTAACCATGAATTTTCCCACAGGCTAAGCAGCTGCTGCGCTGATCTGATATGGGACTCATTGGAACCTAAACTTCCACCAAAAAACAAATCAGAAACCTTGTCTCCCTTCATACACAACACTTTCTTCCATATCCTCAAATGGCAAAAGGAGCAAACAAGTTTGGGCCTCTTTTATGAGGACACTAATCCATTCACGAGAACTCCAGCCTCATGACTTAGTATCTCCTCAAAGGTCTCACCTCTTAATAGTATTAAACTGGGGATTTGGTTTCAACATATGAATTTGGTGGCAGAGGCAGGGGACAGACATTCACATCATAGCATGCCCTGAATCTTAAACAGCTTCAGCATCAACATAAACTGGCATTTATTCTCCCAAGTTCATATTCTAAAATGTGCCCTTGATCAGAAAAATCCCAATAGCAAAAATCACTGACTGTAAATACTGCATTATTTTAAATAGGAAAGGGACAGAAGGCAGCTAAGAACTAGTGGAAGGGAGTGGATTCAGTATTGCATGTAATGTTTTCCTTCTCCTTATTTCTCTCTCTCTCTGCCCCATTTTCTTTCTCAAGTGTCTGGCATAATATTTGTTTAAAACAGACTTGCTTATACCTGTGATTCTCTCTACCTCACACCCAATTTCTCCTTCTCAGTCTCTATTCCAGTGCCTCTAACCTTTCTGCTAACAATGCAAGTCATGGTGTCACTAGAAAAGAGGTCTCGATCTAGACCCCAAGACAGGGTTCTTGGATCTGGTTCAGGAAGGAATTTAAGGTGAGTCATAGAGTGGAATGAAAGAAGCAAGTTTAGGCTGGGCAAGGCAGCTCACAACTGTAATCCCAGCACTTTGGAAGGCTGAGGCAGGCAGATCACAAGGTCAAGAGATTGAGACGATCCTGGCCAACATGATGAAACCCCATCTCTACTAAAAATACAAAAATTAGCTGGGCATGGTGGCGCGTGCCTGTAGTTCCAGCTACTCAGGAGGCTGAGGCAGGAGAATCACTTGAACCTGGGAGGCAGAGGTTACAGTGAGCCGAGATCGCACCACTGCACTCCAACCTGGCAACAGAGCGAAACTCCATCTCAAAAAAACCAAAGGAAAGAAGCAAGTTTATTAGAAGCGACACCATTAGTGAGCAGCCCTCAGAAAGCAAGAGGGGGAATGCACTGGCTTTGTTTTAGGTTTTTCTTATATAGGGGTCTTATCTACAAAAAAACTAAGCTAAACTGTGTCTATGCGTGGGTGAGCAGGCACAATGACAAAATTTATTACTGTATTCATTTAAACTAGCCTTGACATTCTAGTGTGTAAATACATCAAAGCATAGCTATTATCTTGAAAGCATACATTGTTATGGGTACTGGGACATCTGGACTCTGCACTGTTGTAGGAGCGTCCCTGTAGGTATCTTTAGGCTGTTTCCTCAACTATAAACACCCCATGACTATGGCTCATGACCAGCAAGGAATGTACTTTGCTAGTCTCAAAATGGAGCTGTACTTAAGACGACATTCTTTGGCTTTCCTAGACTACTGCTTTCCCTACAATGGAGCACTCACAAGTTAGGGCTTTAGCGTCACAGGAATGCTTTTTACGAGATGGCCAGACATAGCTATTGAAACAAAAGGACTAGCCCTCCATTTAAAGTTCTTCTCACCTATGCCCTGAGTCACATCTAGTGCTTTAATGTTGGCTCTCTCTCCACTCATGAACTTAACTCATATTCCAAATATCGGAGGACTCACAATGGGAAGCCACCACAATTCTTCCAGGGAGCTCATGAGGAAAAGCAGCAACAATGAAGAATCCCTATGTAAGCTTTTCTGGATGGATTGAGCAGGGACTTTATGTCTTAAGTGTGGTTTAAAGTGGTTCCAGAGTCGTAGGGATCTTAGTTTTGTCTGAAAAAAAAAAGTATATAATCTCTAGAAGAGAAAGGCACTTTCATCTAAGGATATAGGGAAGCTCCCTGAAATCTCTTTTCAAGGACAAAGATAACCAACAAAAAAGGAAGCAACCAAACTGATTGAAGAATTTAAAAATGAACATCCAAAGGGGCCCATAAAATCTTCAGTTATTGCCATTATCAGATACATATTATGAAGCAACTATGCCTACCAAGTTAAAAAAATTTTTTTGAAAAATTGAAATTAAAGTGTCCTGGAGAGACAATTATGAATGGGCAATAGATCGGAATAAATTATTCAGAATGCAACGCAGAGATTGAAGGATGGAAATTACAGAGAATTTAAGACACCTGGAGGATACAGAGTGGTAATACCTGCCTTATAATGAATTGGGGTTCTCAAGGGAGAGAAAGAATGGGCAAGAGGCAATACATGAGAGAGGAAGTGTTTGCTGAGCACCGAAGATGGCACGTCACAGATTCAGGTTGTTCAGCAAATCCCAAGCAGGAAAGATTTTAAGAATTTCATAACCAGAAACATTATGCCAAGCTCCAGAAAACACATTCAGTTACTACTTCAGTTGAAAGCTCAGGATTCTAAGTGGAAAATAATCTTAATAACCTAGTCACTGCACTATCTCCTTAAAATCTCATTTTTTTCTATGTCTCCTGCATTTTAATACTAAAAAGGTCATCAATCCAAAAGAACATTAACCAAAAGACCTGCAGTTCTCAGAGAAGACAATACTAAGGCCAACAGACATTTGAAAAGACTCTCAATCTCGTTAAGAATTAAACAATGCAACTTTAAGCCACGAGTTATGATTTCACACCTAGTAAATTATCAAAATTTTAAAGTTTCACAAATCCAGTGTTGGCAGTAAGAGTTGGCAACCAAAATAACCATAAACTCTAGTGGGAGTGAAAATTGGTACAACTTTGGAAAACAATTCATCATTGTACAGTAAAGTCATAAATGGGAACATACTTTGCACAATCCAGTCTTTCCTTATTACATACTCTGAGCCTTGAGAGGAAGCCAGCTGATGCCACAATGTTTTTTAAAACTATGGCTGCTATAGGAACTCACCACCACATCCACAGGATACACCAAGGTAGAAGTGTCAGAGCCAAAGCGACTCCATCTTGAATGGGGCCTGGGTAAAACAAAGCTGAGACCTACTTCCCAGACAGTTAAGGCATTCTAAGTCACAGGATAACACTGGAGGTCCGCACAAGACACAGGTCATAAAAGTCTTGCTGGTTAAACAGGTTGCAGTAAAGAAGCTGGCCAAAACCCACCAAAATCAAGATAGCAAGGAGAGTGACCTTTGGTAGTTCTCACTGCTCATTATATGCTAATTATATGCATTAGCACGCTAAGAGACACTTCCACCAGGGCCATGGCAATTTACAAATGCCATGGTAAGGTTCAGAAGTTACCCTGTATGGTTTAAAAAGCGAGGAAGCCCTCAGCTCCGGGAAACTGCCACCTTTTTCCCAGAAAACTCGTGAATAAACCACCCCTTGTTTAGCATATCATCAAGAAATAACTACAAGTATCCTTATTCCAACAGCCCAAGCTGCTGCTCTGCCAGTGAAGTACCCATTCTTTTGTGTCTTTACCTTCTTAATAAACTTGCTTTGGCTTTGCACTGTGGACGCCCACGGATTTTTCCTGCCTGAGATTTAAGAACCCTCTCTTGGAGTCTAGACTGGGACCCCTTTCTGGTAACAGAAGCACCGCTTCACGATCATGCAGGTCAGTACTTACCAAGTACTAAAAAGTCTATAGCCACACTATTTATAATTTTTAAAATGAATGAGGTCAATTAACATTTAATTTAAATGTTAAAAAGAAAGTATGCCGGGCGCGGTGGCTCACTCCTGTAATCCCTGCACTCTGGGAGGCCGAGGCGGGCGGATCATGAGGTCAGGAGATCGAGACTATCCTGCCTAACACGTTGAAACCCCGTCTCTACTAAAAAATACAAAAAATTAGCCGGGCGTAGTGGCAGGCGCCAGTAGTCCCAGGTACTCGGGAGGCTGAGGCAGGAGAATGGCGTGAACCCGGGAGGCGGAGCTTGCAGTGAGCCGAGATCGTGCCACTGCACTCCAGCGCTCCAGCCTGGGCGACAGAGCAAGACTCCGTCTCAAAAAAAAAAAAAAAGAAAGAAAGAAAGTAAACAAGCCAAATATACACAAACAGTAGACTGCTCTGGCTTGCATACAGAGAGGTCCACTGCCCTTGTGGGTGGGCCGGGCAAGGTCAGGGCCTAAGAAGCACTTCTGGGGAGAGGGGGCGACAGGCTCTGGTGGCTGCAGGAGGAGTGACTCCTCCCAGGATGAGGGTCTCCATCCTCCCAGTGCTCACTCAAGTTCAGTATTTCCAAGTCCTCCCAGGGGACGTAACGCACGTCAGAACGGCTGTCATTAGTGTCACATATACGTGTCTACATGCATTTCCAGGAAATGTCCTTGGCCGGAGAACTACAGTTGTGACAGTCGGGTCACAGGGCGTTTTGTGAGCTATCGTCTTGGGCAAATGAGTGCCAAAAACACAAAAAGACCTCAAAAGGTGGACAGCACAGCAGCAGGGTTTGGGATGAGAGAAGCCCCTTTGCTAGCACCGGCGAGCACTTGCGCAGTACCAGCAAGTGCTGCCTACGTCCCGGAGGGAAACGTTTGTGTGAGCAAATGAATGACCCGGAAGACCTTAGGGCGGCTGCAGAGTTTTCTGGAAAGTGTAATTTCTTGGTCCGGGCGCCACTGGGTGGCCCTCGGTTCCGAGGTGTATCATTCACCACAGGACTGTGTGCCCCAGAACACTTCGCGCGTGGTTCTAACTAGCCGGCACTGAGACGACAGCCCCAGGCAGTTTAGTTTCTTACCAAGCCAAGACCGGTTTGCCCGCAGCTGACCAGGTCCGCGCCGCCGCAGAGACTCTTGGGAAGTGTGGTCTTCCGGTGCTTGCGGTTCGCTGCACTCGGCACTTTCGTCCCGCACGCGGAGGATTCTAGAAAATGTGGCTTGGCCTTAGGCGGTGCACTGGCTCAGTCTCGCGATAGCCTCAGGCCTGGCGGGGACTCCCAGGCTGAGGAACGATTCTGGGCAGTGTTGTTCCCGGAGGTCGGCGGCCGTTGCCCGCTCACCAGCTACGCGGTCCGTCCTGTCCGCAGAGATGCGGGCTCGGGGCGCCTGCGGGGACGGTGAGGCCCCGTTGAGGACTCCGGCCAGTGCGGGTCCCGGGGGTGGCGGTGGGGCTCAGGCCCTGGGTCTGCCTCGTGGTGTGACCCTGGCCGGAGCCTTGGCTTTTCCTGGCCTTCGTGTCGTGCTGTGTAAACGCGAGGTGATGACGGCATCGACCTCTTGGCGCTGTTGTGAGAGCGAAGTGGGCGCCTGAGCAGACGCCAGCCACAGTTGTCTTTGGGTTATGTCGTCATGAAGTTGGTGCTTTGCAGTTGTGTAACCTTGAACAAATGGGTTCAGTATCTTGGAATTTTCAGTTTCGTCATCGTTTAAAAAGAGATCTGGAATAATGTGAATGCCCACCGTGCATTGGTCAAGATTGAACGAGCTGATAAAGTTACTACTGTTATTTTATGAGTCTTTTATGTGCAGAATAATTGATTTTCCTCTCAGGTGGCACCTGGTAAACGGTTAGCCCTTGTGGAGAAACACCCAGTTAGTTCCCAGGGAGAGATTGGGGCCCCGGAGAGTGATTACCAGTGTACCTTTCCATTAAGGTGTGTCACAGGTGCCGCAACATAAGCCTGATTTTTCATAACTGCTTTTTCCTGCCCTTCTGTGCCCTCAGGACACTGCCCAGCTCTAAGATAGCCGGGAAAGAGGACTCTGTTGGCTATTGGAAATTGCAGAGTAATGTCTCAAGTAAGTCGATGTGTCCCCAAATCTTCCTGAAACAACTTTTATCAGTTTGCTTTGCTTCTCCTGCCTGTTCCAACCAAATCAAGTCCATTTAAGGGACTGGATCTATGGTTCCTTTCACTATAAGAAGGATGGAGCCCACCGGAGAGCTGCAAGGTATTGTCCTTCTCACCCAGTGGTCCTCTTTTCTACAGTTTTCTGCTAGAAGATGTTCTAATCTTGCCAACATTTTTAAACTGTAATTCACGATGCAAGTTTGGAATGTAAGGTTATTTGCTTTATGGTTGTCAAAACCGTACCATGTGGTCTCAAGTCAAGAGATGTTTGCAGTCATCCTTGATTCTTCCCTTTCACTCATTGCTCATATTCAGGTCCTCTAGTTGGATATAAACAATACACTGTATACAGAATCTGACCATTCATTACCCTATCACCTCCACCACCACTACCACCCCAGTCCAAACACCTGGATTATTGTGGTAGCCTCCTAGCTGGATTCCTTGCATCTGCCCTTAACCCTCATCAGTCTGTTCTCAGTACAGCAGTCACCGTGATCCTATCCTTACATAAATTTCTGTCATTCCTTAACTTAAAATTTTTCAATGTCTCTAACTCAGAGTCACTTCTGCAATAACCTCTTTGCACAATTAGGCCATTACCTCTCTGATCCCACCTTCCTTCTCTGCCTCCTCATTCCTGTGAGCTCCAGCCACTGTCACCAGTTGCTGTGCCATCCACGTGGAATATTCTTCCCCGACATATGCACAAGCTTGCATTCTTACCTTCTTCATGTGTTTGTTCCATGGTTACTTTCACAGAAGAGCTTCCCTGAACGTCTATTTGCAATTGCAGTCACCTTCCCTCGCCTAGCACTTCTACTCCTCCATCACTGCTTTGTTGTTTTCCACGGCACGTGTCACTCACTCACTGATGTACTTATGTTCATTTTATGCATGTGCTCATTGTCTGTTCCTGGTGGGCGGAAAGTTTTTTCTTTTTTGTTGTCTGTTATAGCTTCAGTACCCAGAGTGATACCTGGCACCAGATAGATGCTTAGTAAGTAATTGTGGAGTGAATAAGATGAGTAATGAAGAACTGGTGGGGCAGAATCATGGCATGGAAGGTGAAGCTTGCGTAGGAGGGGATGTGAGTAGCAGATGTACATGTTGAGTGAAGTATATTTTCTTGGAAAAATTAGGTAATTAGAATTGAAAAACTGCATATTGATACATATCTGTTGTCCCAGCTACTCAGGAGGCTGATGAGGTGGGAAGATTGCTTGAGCTCAGGGGTGTGAGGCTGCAGTGAGCTATGATTATGTCACTGTACTCCAGTCTAGCAACACAGCAAGACCCTGTCTCTTAAAAAAAAAAAAAAAAAAAGGCTAAAGTGAACTAATGCCAAACCATTCATTGGTTCATCTTCTAAATGCTTATGAAGTACCTGTTAGGAAAAGTTGTACATGGATTTTGGTGTGCACTGACACACAGAACTTCATGATCTAGTGTAGTATTGTATAAGAGAACTTTCTGCAGTGGTGGAAGTGCTCTGCATGTGTACTGGTCAGTACAGTAGCCACCAGCCCTGTATGACTGTTGAGTAATTGAACTGTAGCTTAAGCAACTGAGGAACTGAATTTTAAATTTTATTTATTTTATTTTTACATTTTAATTAATTTAAATGTAGGTAGCCAAATTGACTCGTGGCTCCTGTATTGAGGATTGCAGCACTGTAGAAAAGTAAGAAAGCATAAGCAATTTAAATAAGTGCAAGTACTCTTTAACTCTCGGAGCTAACAGATTACCACAGTAGATCAGTCTGTTTCACAAATCAAAGACAGTAATAATGCTGTATTAAATGGATGTATTTTTTGCACATATTATAATTTGACTAGCCAATAAGCTATTACTGAATATTTAAGCTTCTAAAGTTTTACTATTTTAAATAATACTCTCGCCTGTAGAGAAATAAAACTCTCACCTCTAGAGAAAGCCCCACTGGGGACAGTTACAAATATGACACATTTAGAAGCACCTTTCATTCAAAGTCTACTCTTTCTGAACCACAAAAAAATTCTGCTGAAGGGAATTCACACAAATATGATCTATTAAATGAAATGAGTACTACTGAGAGGAATTTCTAAGCATATCTGTGAGCATTTCCTTAGAATATTTTCTTTGAAATGTACCCTTTTATTTTTTTCCCCTTAGTTTCAGGTCCTAGTTAAGGACTGTCTGTGGCAGGGGTGCCCAACCCTTTTGGCATCAGGGATCAGTTTCATGGAAGACAGTTTTTCCACAGGAGTGGGAGGTGGTGGTTTGGGCGTAAGCTGTTCCACGTCAGATCCTCAGACATTAGTCAGATTCTCATAAGGAGCGTGCAGCCTCAATCCCTTGCATGCGCAGTTCACGGTAGGGATTGTGCTCCTATGACTTCTCATAGTTTTGGAGCCTGGGAAGTCCAAGATCAAGGAAGGTGTCTGGCAAGGGCTGTGTTGTTGTGTCCTTCTATGGTGGATGGGCAAAGAGAAGAGAGAGAGGTAAAAGGGGCCTCGGACTAATTTTTTAAATAAGGAACCCACTCCCACGATGATATTAATCCACTGATGAGGACAGAGCCCTCAAGGCCTAATCGTCTCCTGAAGATCTCACCTCTCAATACTGTTTGAACAGCAATTAAGTTCAATACATGCTTTTTGGGAGACACAATCAAACCGTAAATTTCTGTAGAACATTTCAAACCAGCAACTCTCACCTCTAGAGAAAGCCCCACTGGGGACAGTTACAAATATGACATATTTAGAAGCACCTTTCATTCAAAGTCTACTCTTTCTGAACCACAAAAAAATTCTGCTGAAGGGAATTCACACAAATATGATATATTAAAGAAGAATTTACCAAAATGTATATTAATGTCTATCAGTCTTTAACGTAAAGATCTTTTTTCTGAGCCGGGCGCGGTGGCTCACGCCTGTAATCCCAGCACTTTGGGAGGCCGAGGCGGGCGGATCACAAGGTCAGGAGATCGAGACCACGGTGAAACCCGTCTCTACTAAAAATACAAAAAATTAGCCGGGGCGGTTGTGGCACCTGTAGTCCCAGCTACTCGGAGCTGAGCAGGAGTGTGGGGGGCGGGTTGCAGGTGATGGCCATGATGCTGGGGAACCCATCTCCAAGATTTTTTTTTTTTGTGAGCCTTAGTGGATCATCCTGAGTATCCCATTTGAGAGACAATCGCTTTAGCCTCATTTTTTAATTACTTACCTAGTACTTAAACTATAAAAGATATAACCAAATACTTGACTGTATGCTGTCTAATGTTAAATGTTGATTTTTAAAAATTCATGTAATTCTATAACTTTTAACAAAAAATTCTACTGAAGCAAAGCTCTCATATTTGTCTCTCACCCTTATTGTATAATAATCCTAAGCACATAACTGTCCCCCTTATTATGTAAGAATTCCATCTACATAACTGTCCTATTATTACTTAACTAAGATCACATTCCCAATTTTTGTCACAACTCCTGAATCTTGTTCCATTTCTTCCACAAGCAGGCTAATTTTACCCCTTCATCAGTGACAGAAGAGGCCTGGGCTATGGCTGAGCCTAAATATATTTGCTATTTCAGGTGACATTTAGTGATGTGGCTATAGACTTCTCTCATGAAGAGTGGGGATGGCTCGATTCTGCTCAGAGGGACTTATACAAGGATGTGATGGTCCAGAATTACAAGAACCTGGTGTCTGTAAGTAAGGATATTACCCCATCCACTCCAATAGGGGCTCTTTTGCCACTCTGAATTGCTGAAGAGCCTCCTAAGTAAATGGCTGAATTTCCGTACCATGTTCCCAAGGAAATGTGCAGCTCTGTTGTGCCCTCCCTGAAGCTTATCTTTCCATTTCAGTGAATACCCTTTATCCCTTCTTGTGGTCCCTCTTGTGATGGCCTCTCATAATAGAGGACCACAGCTTAAACAATTCTATATTCTTCCTGTAAGCAGGTCTTTCCGTAACTAAGCCATATGTGATCACATTGTTGGAGGATGGGAGAGAGCCCTGGATGGTGGAGAAAAAACTGTCAAAAGGTATGATTCCAGGTGAGTCATGGTGAACGAGACTAAGGAAAATTTTGTTAAAGATGTTTATAGTGAGTGTGGAGGCATTTTAGGAATACTATCTCCAAATATCTCAAATATAAATGAAAAATATAAAACGAAATATTTAGCTTAGATTTTCAAAATAATTGTTTCTCTATCCCAAATTATTATCTGTATCACTCATATCACCTAATCAAGTTTAGAGGTTTTTGCCATCATAATAATTCAAATTGTTACTCTATTCATGACAAAGTAAGGCAAATTATTCTTTCTTAAATCTACATAAGGAAAAACATACTGATACTTTTAGCTAAGAAAAGCTGTCAATTAGAGGGAAAATCACTTTTCTAAAGCTGAGCTTTGTAGATGAAATATGAACATATTAGAGGAAGTAAAGAACATATAAAATATGTTCCTAGGAATAATATTTTCTAATGTCTAATAAGTGATATGATTCACAGTTTCTTCATAACCTCAGAAGGCCTAAATGTTTGTCAGCCATAAAGAGCACTTAGATTATTTTGTTTTTACTGCAGCTGTTTAATGTAGTAGTATCAATTCTGTATTTTAAGTGTGTTAATCTGGCAGCAAATTGAGATTAATGGAAGGTTGGAGGAAAAGGCTATGAGACAAAATGCAGTCTTTCACATGTGAATATGGGCACAAAGAGATGACTTGGAATCCAGAATGCCTTCCACATTTTATTTCTGATAGTTTCATTTTTTTCACATACTGTTTTATCTATTATGTATATTTTACCCATTTCTGTTATCACTCCTTCTGTGAACTTTGTATTCTCTGCTTCATTTGAGCATTGTTCAGAAATCATTGAAATATTTGAGTTGTCTGAACTATGTGTTTTCTGGGGACTTCATTTCTTATCCATTTCTCCTAATTCCACCATAGAAGTGTCTTTTCAAGAAGTGAAAAAAAGAAAAAGCAGTGCTGTGCTTTCTTGATGTATTTCAGATTGGGAATCAAGATGGGAAAACAAGGAATTATCAACAAAGAAGGATATTTATGAGGAAGATTCACTCCAAACAGTAACAGTAGAAAATGTTTTAAAACAAAATTATGAATTTTCAAATTCTAATAAGAATTTGCAATATATAGAGAAGTTGGAAGCATGAAATTTATGTAGAACATTTCAGACCAGCAACTCTCACCTCTAGAGAAGGCCCCACTGGGGACAGTTATAAATATGACACATTTAGAAACACCTTTCATTCAAAGTCTACTCTTTCTGAACCACAAAAAATTTTGCTGAAGGGAATTCACACAAATATGATATATTAAAGAAGAATTTACCCAAAAAGTCAGTTATAAAAAATGAGAGACTCAATGGTGGAAAGAAACTTTTGAATTCTAATGAAAGTGGAGCAGCCTTTAACCAGAGCAAATCTCCTCACCAGACTTGTAATAGAGAGAAAATCTATACATGCAGTGAATGTGGGAAAGCCTTTGGCAAACAGTCAATCCTCAATCGCCACTGGAAAATTCATACAGGAGAGAAGGCCTATGAATGTCGTGAATGTGGGAGGACTTTTAGCCGTGGCTCATCCCTTAAACGAGATCAGATAAATCATAGTGGAGAGAAACCTTACAAATGCATTGAATGTGGGAAGGCCTTTAGCCATGGCTCATCACTTACTAACCATCAGAGCACTCACACTGGAGAGAAACCATATGAATGTATGAACTGTGGAAAGTCTTTTAGTCGTGTGTCCCTTCTTGTTCAACATCTAAAAATTCATATGCAAGAAAAAACGCTATTGAGTAAAAAAAAAAAAGAAAAAAAAAACCACTATGAGTGTCGTATACATGGAAAGGCCTTCATTCATAGGTCATCTCTCATTCACCATCAGAAAAGCCTTATGAATATAGAGAATGTGGGAAAGCTTTTTGCTGTAGCTCACACCTTACTCAACATCAAATAATTCACACTATGGAGAAACAATATGAATGCAACAAATGTCTCAAAGTCTTTAGTAGCCTCTCATTTCTTGTTCAGCATCAGAGTATTCATACTGAAGAAAATCCCTTTGAAGTTTAGAAATGCAGGAAATCCTTCAGCCAGCTTGAATCACTGAATATGCATTTGAGAAATCACATTAGATTGAAACCCTACGAATGCAGTATATGTGGGAAAGCCTTCAGTCATAGGTCATCCCTGCTTCAACATCACAGAATTCATACTGGAGAGAAAACTTACGAATGTATTAAATGTGGGAAGACCTTCAGCTGTAGTTCAAACCTTACTGTACATCAGAGAATTCACATTGGAGAAAAGCCATATAAATGTAATGAGTGTGGGAAAGCTTTTAGCAAAGGCTGAAATCTTACTGCCCATCAAAGTACATAATGGAGAGAAACCCAGTAGTGTGGTAAGTGTGGAAAAGCCTCTAGACCATATGAATCACTGTACATGTGAGAAACCTTACACAAGAGAATGTGTATGAAGCAGTGTTTAGCATGGTAAACTTCGTTCATAGATCCTCATTTAACATCAGAAAAATTTATACTAGGGAAAAGTCTTATGAATGTAGGGAATATGGGAAGACTTTCAGCAATGATGTAGACGTTTTTATTTATCAGAGTTTTTACTGTAGAGAAATCACATGAAGACCATAAATGTGGGAAAGCCTTTGTCAGTATTAATCCCTTAATTGACATAAGTATACTCATACTAGGATAAAACCCTGTACATGTAGCAAATATGGGAAAGACTATAGGCAATAAGAATCTCCAACAAACTCCTACAGGAGAGACACTGTATGAATGTAGAAAATTTAAAAATTGAGGCCGGGCGCGGTGGCTCAAGCCTGTAATCCCAGCACTTTGGGAGGCCGAGACGGGCGGATCACGAGGTCAGGAGATCGAGACCATCCTGGCTAACACAGTGAAACCCCGTCTCTACTAAAAAATACAAAAAACTAGCCGGGCGAGGTGGCGGGCGCCTGTAGTCCCAGCTACGCGGGAGGCTGAGGCAGGAGAATGGGCGTAGACCCGGGAGGCGGAGCTTGCAGTGAGCTGAGATCCGGCCACTGCACTCCAGCCTGGGCGACAGAGCGAGACTCCGTCTCCAAAAAAAAAAAAAAAAAAATTGAGGGAGGACTTCAGTTCCAAGTGCATCACTTATTTTACAAAGAACTCAAACTGGAGAGAAATCTCATTTAAGAGATGTAGCAAAGTGTTCACTAGGAGTGTTTATCTTGCTACCCCATCAGAAGATTAATGGTAGAACAACCTGAAAGATTTAGGAATCACGTGTAAATCTTTGCAGTGATGCTATTTGTAAACAGGATTCTACAGGAGAGCAAATAAACATAATTACGCATTTCTTAGAGCAGTAGCTTGTAGTTTTAAGTTCTACTTAGAAATTATTTTTAACTAGTGTGCATGTGAAGATATTTAGTCACCCAAAGGAGCCAGTAAATGTTATAATGTTAAAAATTAAAGCTGCAAAAGAAATATAATGGTGTGAATAAAGGTTTTGGTATCTAATAAAATCATTTTGTATATCATGAACTCTTTCTCTGTGACTATTACTGGCAAAAAACCTTCACTAAGATTAGCCTTAGTATAGCCTTTAGTGGGAGACAAGCAAACCTAGAGAAAAATGCCTGCTCTTTATACTAAGAATAGCAGTATTTTGGTGAGGATTATTCAGAGTCCATTTCCGTGGGCTTAATACATTTCAAGAAAATGTACTGAGCATCACTCATGTATATTACACAGCGATGGGATATAGGAATCTGGTCATTCTGAGCTTTAGTGGTATGTCAGAATCGTTAGGAGGGCTTGTTAAAGCACAGATTGCTAAGTCTCAATTCTAGTTTCTGTATGAGTTGATTTGAATTTGCATTTTTCACACGTTCTTAGGTGACACTAACACTGTTTTGTCCAGAAAGCACATTTTGATAACCATTGTAATAATTAACAAATGTGGTCTTTTTCTCACAGAGACATTATCTGACAAGAGAAATGGATAGCAAATAAACTTGAAATAATCGTTTACAAGTGCTATGAGAACATAACCAAGAAACAACATACTATAAGAGATCGGAGCAGGCTTAGTGAGATGTGATTTTTTGAAATGAATCCTAAATGATGAACACTAATTATGTAATGAGTACTACTCATGTAGCTGTGTGCATCCCTGCATGTGCCTGTGCGTGTGTGTATGTGGTGTGCTGCGTGTTATTCTAGGTAAAGCAGTCGAGTTCTATCATGCTTGCTGCAGCTGGATTCCATGTTCCCATGTCTAGTTTCAGATTCTGTGACTTTGAGGTAGCACTGTTGGCAGCATCATTGGTTTCAGCAACTGTCATTTCTCTATCTCTGGGTCATCATTATGGGAGTTTACCTTGAAATCACTAGTCCAGAAGTGTCCTCATTGCTTTTACAGCCCACCTACCAATTTCAAAAGCACTAATTTACTGCAATATATGTCTTGAAATAGTTAAGAGAGTTTTTGTTCTCTGCACTGAACCTTGACAGATAATTATGGTTTGTAAGGAGGGAGGATGGCTTCAAATATTCTAAGTTCTAGATAAGAAATGGAACAGTCTCACTGGCCCTGTGATTAGAATCCTATCTTGTGATTAAAAAGGTAATACAGATCAATTTGATTTGGAGTGTATGGACACTGATGCAAGGGAAGGGCTGTGATATGGATTATGCTTCAGATTTTGTACACTATGGCAGGTGAGAATCATAAGATACGTTATTATTTTAAAAAGGAACATTATGTTACACATACAAGAATTCTGGTGTGAAATGAGTGATAAGGTTTCTGACTGTCAACAAAATGTATCTCTTCTGATACATGTACTACCTTAACTGAAAGCTAAAAGCATAGAGGCATATTCCAATAGCACTTTGGAATAGAGACAGTAGGTTTGGAATGGGGTGGTAAATTTTTACTATTCTGCAGGGATTTTATCTTTCATTTGATTTAATTTTAATAATGAAATTCATATTGAAATTCTATGAAACATTGCGAGATCTTAGATTTAAGGAAGGGCCAGGTGCAATGGGACATATCTGTAATCCCAGAGCTTTGGGAGGCTGGGGCAGGAGGATTGCTTGAAGCCAGGAGTTCGAGACCAGCCTGGGCAACATAGCAAGATTCAGTCTCTAAAAATATATATATTTTTAATTACCCAGGGGTAGGCATACGCCTGCAGTCCTAGCTATTCAGAAGGCTGAGTGGGGAGGGATTGCTTGAGTACAGGAGTTTAAGGTCACAGTGAGCCATCATCCCACCACTGCTTTCCAGCCTGGCAGCAGAACAACACTCTGATTCCAAAGTAAATATAATTAAGGAAGTATGACGTAGTATCAAACAGTTGTAATTATGGATAGTCTACCACATATATACTTATGGGATAATGACAGTAGCTTTCTTTTCTCTCATTCTCTGTCCTTCCTCTGCTCTCCCAAGGAACTGGTACCACAAAGATGAAGTAGTCCTATAATGCCCAGATTTTATTTGTTTCCACTACATATAGTTTTATGCCACCATGTCATTTTGTTATGAGAGGATTCGTCGAAATTCCTGTGCTTTGTCATTTAAAAAGCATGAGCATACACGTGATAATGCTTTACATTTCTTGATTTAAAGTGCCTTCACAATAACAGAATTAGGAAAAAGAAGGCCTTTTTTTTTTTTTTTTTTTTTTTTTTTTTTTTTTTGAGACGGAGTTTCACTCTTGTTGCCCAAGCTGGAGTGCAATGGCACGATCTCGGCTCACTGCAACCTCCGCCTCTCAGGTTCAAGCAATTCTCCTGCCTCAGCTTCCCGAGTAATTGGGATTACAGGCATGTGCCACCACACCCAGCTAATTTTTTGTATTTTTAGTAGAGACAGGGTTTCACCATGTTGGCCAGGCTGGTCTCAAACTCCTCACCTCAGGTGATCTGCCCGCTTCGGCCTCCCAAAGTGCTAGAATTACAGGCGTGAGCCACCACACCCAGCCAGAAGGCCATATTTTTAAATAAAGAAGCTTTTAAGAGCAGTAAGAGACCATTACTTTGTTATGATAGAAGATTGGGCTGATGTCATAATGATGTTATGATGTCACTGACATCATATTTTTCCTCATTCATACCTATTAACCATTTCTTGAGCATCCACTGGAGTGCACTGGCGCGATCTCGGCTCACTGCAAGCTCGCCTGCTGGGTTCACGCCATTCCACATGTCTTCTCTTGATTTGCGAGGCCATCAGCAACTCCTGCGATTGCCTCAGTTCCTGGTACCAAATTTAAATGGACTTTTGATGCTTTGAAAATTTGTTCTTGTAATTTGGAAATGTCTAAAGTGAAATTATCTTCTCTTCCCTGTAGATGGCGTCTAACCATGTTCCAGTGATGTTCAGACTCATTATAAACTCGGGGTGTAATACAAAAATCTGACGTATTCCAGTCACACTGTAACTGGAAATGATGTTCTAAGCTCATAAGCCTATCTCCCATCCAAATGACAGTTTGTCTAAGATCATTAATTTGATTTGCCAATTTTTGATCAATACCAGATTGTGAATTCCACAATCTTGTAGAATTCTTTTGCCAATCGTTAACAAAGTTTACCGTCTGAACAGAAGAGTGCAATGCAACTCCTGCCACAGCGGCCATAGCTGTGACTGCAATTAATCCCATAATCACTGCAATTAAAGTAAAAATGAATCTTTTGGAGCTATTTAAAATGACTTTTAATACCTCAGTCAAAATATGGACAGACAGCGAGGCCTCCTACGGTCAGTCCACGGACCCAGGGATCCACACGTCTTCTCTTGCTCTCACTAGCAGAATACGGTGCTGCCAATTAAAAGTCAAATCAATGCAAGTAAACAATCTGCAATAGTCACAGGTTATAGTTTGGGAGTCTGGTTTAATAACTATATTTCCTACAACTAGCATGTAAGAGGGCTTTACACAACTTTGTAAAGGAACTGTAAGACTGGAATTTAGGTCAATAGTATAAAAGGGCTTATGATCTCTTGTTTCTATAGTTCAATTTCCAGACCAAATTCTAATGCGGTATGAGGCTACAGTAAGCCTCCATAATTCTGGATGTTCAGGACCAGAAATAGGACTTATTATTTTTGGTCTTGGAGTAGAGATTCCTTTTTCTCCCCATTCCTAAAGGTAGAAAGACTGTAATTTTTTGTGCTTACGTTTATCTAAACTTTTTGTTAAGTCACTATCAACAGCTGGACTCACTTGTGCACTGGGACACGGTTGAGTTTGTCCTGTGCAATTGTGGTGGAATTGACCTCAAGGTGCTCAATCTATAATAGTTCTGAATTCATTGTTTTGTAATATCACCGCACTATCGGCCACACATTCTTCCCAAACTACAACTTCTGTGTCTTTTGATCCTTTGGGAACTTCCTTGGGGCAAGGTTTCCCTTTAGGTCTAAATTTTAATGATCTTTGATAAGAAAAGTCCTGTAAGTAATTTACCTGTGGCCCGAGTGACATTCCACTTATCATGTGATAAGTAAATCTACTGCTGGTATTGACAGTAGGTACTTCTACCAACCAATTTTGGATTGCCGGAATCAAACATCCTGGTGCTCTCCCTAGGCAAGTAGGAGGATAATAATACCCAGTGGAAATATTTATCATCATTCCTTCTTCCTCAGGTTTGGCAGGGCAATGATCATCTGTGGGGCCAGGTACCCATGCACTATTATTAACATATATTTCAATAGGATTATCCATCCATGTGACTGCCCGAATTAAGGGCAGGAAAGGCACATAGGCCCAGTAGGTATAATTAGCTGCAGCTGCTCCTGCAGGCATGGAGAGACTTACCACCATTGATACAATCATCAAAGCTGCAAGCAGCATGTTCTTTGGAGTTTGTGTCACCTTTGTGTTCTCTAGGCTTTTTTCAGCTAACTGTGTCAGCTTCTTTAACTGTGCCCAAGTTGGCGGTTCTGCCTTCTTGGTGGATGGCAACTTCATCTGTTCTTCTGACATCACCATTTTGTTCATCTTGTGAGTTGATGCTGCTCGATTGCAGTGCTTCCGTCTCTGTGCAGGCGCTTTTCTTTGCATCTCTGATGGGTTCATTGTAGAACTTCAAATGTTTAGTGGGTATCCAAACAGGAAGCTGATTTTCTCCTGGTGAAACACAAGTAAAACCTCTCCCCCACGTTACCACCTTCCCTATTTCCCATGTCTTATTTTTGTTGTCTTTCCACCAAATCAGTTTTCCTTCATGTGGGCTGTTCTTTTTACTAGTAAGATGTTGTTCTGCAGAAGTAGTAATCTGATTTCTATAAACGTTTAAAAACTTTTAAGTATAGAGTGCTAGATTAAGTTGCATCTGAGGAGTGGTACACTCCTTACTGTCTCCCCCTTCTTTTTGTTTAACTAACTGAGTTTTGAGTGTTCTATTAGTCCTTTTAACTATGGCCTGTCCTTGGGAATTATAGGGAATTCTTGTTGTATGCATAATTTTCCACTGATTTAAGAATTTTTGGATAACTTTACTACAGTATCCTGGTCCATCGTCAGTTTTAATTTCTTCTGAAACTCCATTACAGCAAAACAAGATAATAAATGTTTTTTAACATGGGAAGTACTTTTCCACACAATTTTATTATTGGTAATTTTGTCTGACCAATTAATGTAGCTATTTGATCCAAGTACAATGTAAAAGTCTTAATTGTACTGTGAGGAAGGAATGACCACTCCACAAGATCAGTATTTTGAACAACGATGCCTGTTGGAGAATGTACAGTAGCAAAAATCAAAAGTTGGAGTGGGGCTAAGGGATCTATTATATTTATTTGAGCGACTGAATTTTTTCTTCTACTAATTTAATTTCTTTAGTTGCCTCTGGGGTTAATATTCTTTTACTATTTAAGTCTGAATCTCCTTTTAAGATAGAGAACAAATTGGACATGGCATAAGTAGGAATGCCTAGAGTTGGCCGAATCCAATTAATATCTCCTAGCAGTTTTTGAAAGTCATTTAATGTTTTTATTATGTCTTGTCTTATTTCTATTTTTTGTGGCTTAATTTTTCTATTTTCTATCTGCATCCTTAAATAATGAAAAGGAGCAGAGGTCTGAATCTTATTAGATGCTATTGCCAGTCCTGCATTGGCAACCTCTGCTTGGAGAAATATGTAATGGTCAATTAATTTGTCTCTCATTTCTGCAGCACATAAAATATAATCAATATAATGAATGATATAACAGTATGAAAATTTGTCTTTAACTGGTTGAAGAGCTTGACCTAGGAAAGTCTGACAAATAGTTGGGACTATTAAGCATTCCTTGAAGTAACACTTTCCACTGAAACCTAGTGGCTGGTTCTTTATTATTTACGGCTGGTATAGTAAAGGCAAATTTTTCACAATCCTGCTCCGTCAGAGGAATGGTAAAAAAGCAATCCTTCAGATAAATTATAATTAAAGGACAGTCTTTTGGGATCATGGCCGGAGAGGGCAACCTGGGTTGGAGAGGTCCTAGGGGTTGAATTATGGCATTCACAGCCCTTAAATCTGTTAACATACGCCATCTGCTGGATTTTTTCTGAATTACAAACACAGGAGAATTTCAAGGTGAGAATGAAGGCTCGATATGTCCTTTTTCTAATTGTTCCTTTGCTAATAAATGCAAAACCTCCAGTTTTTGTTTTGGTAGCAGCCACTGATTTAAATATACTGGTTTTTCTGTTTTCTAAGTTAATGGAATGGTTTTAGGAGGCTCTACAGTGGCCACCCCTAAAAAGGATACCTTGTTCCTTTTCTTTCTTGATTTTCCTCAGTCTCAATTGGGACTTTAATGCCATTTTCATTTTTTCCTAGTCCTTTTCCTGGTATATGTCCTATTTTAGTCATGATTTTTTGACTCATGGGGGCTGTATAATGGAGCAGGCAATAGAGATTTCTGCACCTCATTATTGTAATAAATCTCGACCTTACAGATTAACAGGACTTGAAGTAATCATTGGTTGAACAGTACTTCCTTGATTATCTGGCCTTAAACAATGTAAAATCATAGTACTTTGATACACCTCTGAGGCAGTGCCTATGCCGACAAGTCCTGTAACAGCCTTTTGTTTAGGCCAATTTTTGGCCACTGATTTTTTTTTTTTTTTTTTTTTTTTTTTTTGAGACGGAGTCTCACTCTGTCGCCCAGGCTGGAGTGCAGTGGCCGGATCTCAGCTCACTGCAACCTCCGCCTCCCGGGTTCACGCCATTCTCCTGCCTCAGCCTCCCGAGTAGCTGGGACTACAGGCGCCCGCCGCCTCGCCCGGCTAGTTTTTTGTATTTTTTTTAGTAGAGATGGGGTTTCACCGTGTTAGCCAGGATGGTCTCGATCTCCTGACCTCGTGATCCGCCCGTCTCGGCCTCCCAAAGTGCTGGGATTACAGGCTTGAGCCACCGCGCCCGGCCTTGGCCACTGATTTAAAGCAGTGATAGAGACATCTGCTCCAGTGTCTACTAACCTTTCAAATTGTTTTCCTTGAATAATGGCCTTATACACAGGTCTGCTCTCTGATAACTGACTTGCCTAATATGTAGCCTTTCCTGCTGGATCAGTGCTTCCAAACCTTTCTGTTCTTTTTATTTCACTGTTTCCAACCTTAATATAAGGCAGGAGTAATAATTGAGCAATCCTGTCTCCTGGACTGGCCCTCCAAGGAATTGAGGAGCTAATAACCAATTGAATTTTGCCTTTGTAGTCTGAATCAACCACACCAGTATGAATTTGAACTCTTTTTAGAATTAGACTCGATCTTCCTAAGATTAGTCCTACAGTCCCCTCAGGCAATGGGCCATATATCCCTGTGGGGAATTTTTTGTGGGGGCTCCTCTGGAAGCAGAGAGACTGCTTGTATAGTACATAAATCTACTGCTGCACTGCCGCTTGTGGCGGGTGACAATTGCTGTATTGTGGTAACTGGCTCATTCCTTGAGGCACTTGTGACAGTGGGGGTTGTTGTCCTTGAAAACCTTGAGGAACAAAGGGCTGAATTGGGAATGCCTCAGTTTGTTGTAGGGCCTGAGGCTGGCCCCTCTTCTCATTTCCTGACAATGGTTGCCCATTTTTATCAAATTTAGAATGACCTTGATTAGCCCAATGTTTTCCTTTTTTACATCTTGGACATAGGTCAGGTGGTTCTTTATCTGTTATTGTAATAGCTTGAATAGTTATATTTTGTTTATTTGAGGCTGGGCAATTCCCTTTTAGATGACCAATTTGTCCACAATTATAACATTTTCCTCTAAATGTTCTAACTTGTCCTCCTAAAGCAACTCCTGTGATTGCTTGAGCCATAAGCATGGCTTTATGCATGGCTCCTCCAATTCAATTCCATCACAGGCTTTTACGTAGTCTGAGATTACATCTGACCCTGCCAGGACCTTACCTTTTAATGGCTTAATGACTGATTGACACTCAGTATTGGCGTTTTTATATGCCATCAACTCCACTATGACCTTACTGGCATTCTTATCGGCAATTGACTTTTGAGCAGCATCTTGGAGCCTTGCCACAAAATCAGGGTAGGGCTCTTTAGAGCCTTGTCTTATTGTATTGAATGAGGGGCAGGCAGTTCCTGTGCCCTGGATTTTTTCCCCAGGCTCTAAGGCAGATAGCTCTAACTTGCTCAATTGCCTCATTTTGCATTATTGTTTGTTGATTAGTAGTGCTCCAATTTTGACCTGTTCCTAATAGTTGATCTGCATCTATGTTATCTGGAGGATTCGCAGCCCTATTTTTTCAGGCCTGTTCTTGGGCCCCATCAGTCCACCAAGTCTTAACTTGTAAAAATTGAGAGGGTGAGAGTAATGATTTGGCCAGAATCTCCTAATCATAAGGAATGAGTCTATGTCCATGAGCAATGGAATCTAATAATGTTCTCATATAAGGGGAGTTGGGTCCATACTGTTTTACTCCCTCTTTCATATATTTTAGCATTTTTATAGAAGAGGACTCATATCTGGCCTCAGCTAGGGGAGGTGCTCCCTCTGGGGCCTCTTCTCCAGGTGGTATCAGCTCTAATATTACTGGGAATTGCCACACCTCAATATCTCCTTGTTTCCTTGCCTTATCAATAATTTTATGTAATGTACTACCTTGTCCACTAGGTGGTGGTATACAATTAAGTCTCATAGTGGGCGGCTGAGGATATAGAGCCCAGCCTTATGGTGCTGGAAACATTCCTGGCTGTCCATACTGATTTTCTGGGGGCGGCTGATACTGAAGTTTGGCTGGTGGCCAGTACTGATAGGCTACTGGCGATTGGCTCTTATTTTCTACTGGCTGATATTGTGGATACCGTATTTGGATTGGCATTGCCGTGACAGAGACTCTATCTTTTTCTATTTGATTTTTTGGGGGGGGTTTGTACTTGTCTAACCTGCATTTGAGGTTGTAATGTTTCAGGCATCTTAGCTGCTGGAAGAGGAGTTGGCCATTGTGGTTTAGACTCTGATGCCTGCTAATTCTGGACCTTTTTCTTCTAATTTTAATGTTTCAGGATATATTACCTCCTGTAATTGATTATGGTCAACATTTTGCGTTGACTGAGCCATTACTGGCTCTGCTACATATTTACAATGTGAACTTTCCATTCCTTTCTGGGATTCTATCCCTGCCTCTTCTTCATAATCTATTACACAGCTTTCAGGGACATCAGACTGAAATGCTATCTTCTCCTGTTTGAAACAGTTCTAAAGCTACTTTAATAATGACCCAATCATTCCATACTGTAAGTGAGATGATTTTACCCTCCCTATTTGCTTGTTTTAATTCTTTGCCCAATTTTTTCCCAATCTTTTAGATCTAAAGTTCCCTGTTCTAGAAACCATAGGCAGAACTGTTCTACTGTTTGAAATAGCGTAATTAGATTTTTTGTAGAGACTCTACCTCCCCCTCTTTTTAAAAGGATTTTAATAGAGCTGATATAAGAGGCATATTTACTTTTAGTCTGTCCCATTGTTACCCTAAGTTCTTCTGAGTGCACAAGCTTACTGCAAGGCTGACCGTAGACATACTTGGGAATATCTCGTCAACTTGTCCTCAATGACCACGCTCAAGCGTACCTTCACCTTAGAGAAAAGCCCCACATTGGGCGCCAGATGAAGGGGTGGCCTGCCCCTCCACACCTGTGGATGTTTCTCATCAGGTGGGATGAGAGACATGAGAAAAGAAAGAGACACAGAGACAAAGTATAGAGAAAGAAAAGTGGGCCCAGGGGACTGGCACTCAGCATATGGAGGACCCACGCCAGCACTGGTTACTGAGTTCCCTCAGTATTTATTGATCATTATCTCTACCATCTTGGAGAGGGGGATGTGGCAGAACAATAGGGTAATAGTGGGGAGAGGGTCAG